GACTAGTGGAAATAATCACCTCGCTCGTGGAATATACTTGCGAAGCGGTTAAGTATAAATATAACTTAATGTTTCCTCAATTATTTTCAAAATAATTATTTACTTGAAATCTTTGAAATCATGATATCCTCAACTTAGTTCCATTCAATGCAATTCAACAATTATAATCATATAACGGTACCCACAAAGCATGATGTAATCCTAGAACTACCCGGACATAACAGGAATAGCAGCTACGTACGGACTCTTGTCACTTCGTGTGTACGTAGCCCCCACGATTAATCATATATTAATTAAGTTAACCTATGAGGAAATTTCCCTTTATACAAGGTTAGAAAAGAGACTTACCTCGTTTCGAACCTACTTCCAACTCAAGAGTGCGCTCAGACTCTCAAACCGGAGCCGCACAATCCGAATCTATTCAAATAGTGTAAAAACCAATCATTATAGGTTTACAAGTTCATATTCTAGATATTAAAGTGATTATCCAACCCCAAAGGTAAGATTCCTAAAATTCACCCCCGGGCCCACATGCCCAGATTTCGAAAATTTTCGAAGGAAGTTTTTACCCATACCCTAAGGAACATAGATATATGATTATTACTAAGTTTCATGGTGATTTTCGTGGTAAAAATCTCATTCTTGCCAAACCCTAGGTTTTCCTCAAATCCCATGATTTTCACTAATCTTTACATGTTAATTCCAAAAATCTATGTATTTAACTCACATATAGTAAGAATTACTTACCTCAAGAAGCTTGTAGAAAACCCCTCTCAAGAAGCTCCAAAATCGCCCAACAATGGAGTGAAATGTGTCAAAAATGACTAACTCTCGTATCCACTGCCTTCTGTGATTTCCGCACCTGCGGTGCTTTGACCGCATCTGCTGTCTCGCTTCTGCGGGCAAGTGTCCGCTTCTGTGAAAATGGGCTGGGCCAACTGGGGCCGCTTCTGTGGCAGGCCCACCGCTTCGGTGGTTCCGCTTCTGCGGAGGAGGGGCCGCATCTGCGGTTTTTGGGCTGCCCACCCTTGGCTGCATCTGCGAGTCATATCCTGCACCTGCGGGCTTGCATCTACGGCTGGCCAACCGCGGGTGCGGTTATGACAGCAACTGGAGCTTCAGCTCCTCCTTCAATTTCCAACTTAGCTCGAGCCTCGTCCGATTGATGCTCAGGGCCCCGCCCGAATGTACCGACAAGTTTGAAATGATAAAACGGACTCGCTCGAATCCTCGAAACGCCGGAAACAACATTAAAACTAGGAATCACACCCTAAAACCAATTGATTCAAACTTATGAACTTCAAGTTCTTTAATTTACTTCCAATGTGACGCAACACACTTATACTACTCGGATTGACACCAAATTTTGCGTGCAAGTCTTAAATGACATTACGGAATTATTCCAGGTCTTGGAATTCCGTTTGGACCTCAATATCATCAAAACCCGATCTGAACAAAATTTAAAGAATTTTTATAAACCTTCATGAACCAACTTTTACTATTATGCGCTAGAACGCTCCCGGGTTATCAAAAACCCAATCCGAACATACGTCCAAGTCAGAAATCATCATACGAACCTATTGGAATAGTTAGATCCCGATTCCGAGGTCGTTTACTCAAAATGTCGACCGAAGTCAAACTTGGCCTTTTAAGCCAACCTTAAGGAACCAAGTGTTCTGCTTTCGACCCAAACTCTTCCAAATCCCGAACCAACCATCCCCGCAAGTCATAAATCAGTAAAAGCAAGTACAGGAAGTCTTATTTAGGGGAACGGTGTTCTAGAACACAAAACAACCAGTCGGGTCGTTTCATTCTCCACCCCGTAAACAAACGTTCGTCCTCGAAGGGGTTTAGATTCATACCTGAGGTGCTGAATAAGTGTGGATATCTGCTCCGCATGTCCTTCTCGGACTCCCAGGTCACCTCCTCGACTGGTTGGCCCCTCCACTGGACTTTTACTGTAGAAATTCTCTTGGATCTCAACTGCGATCTTGTCTATCAATAATGGCAACTGGCTCCTCCTCAAAACCCAAGCTCTCATCTAGCTGAATAGTACTGAAGTCTAACGCATGAGAAATGTCGGCGTGTAACCTCCGAAGCATAGACACGTGAAACACTAGATGAACCCCTGATAGGCTGGGAGGTAAGGCAAGCTCATAAGCAACCTCCCCAACTCGCCTCAACACCTCAAATGGGCCTATAAACCGTGGGCTCAACTTGCCCTTCTTCAAAAATCTCATAATACCCTTCATCGGCGAGACTTTCAAGAGAACCTTCTGGCCGACCATGAATGATACATCACTCACCTTCTGATCCGCGTAACTCTTCTGTCTGGACTGTGCTGTGCGAAGTCTCTCCTGAATCAACTTCACCTTTTCCAAGGCATCCTTCACCAAGTCAGTTCCGTACAACTTAGCCTCGTCATGATCAAATCACCCAATGGGAGAACGACATCGCCGACCATATAAAGCCTCAAATGGAGCCATCTCGACGCTGATTGATAACTGTGGTTGTAAGAAAACTCGGCCATAGGCAAGAGCTGATCCCACTGTCCCCCAAAGTCAATCACACATGCTCTCAGCATGTCTTCTAATATCTGAACTGTCTGCTCCGACTGTCCGTCGGTCTGAGGATGAAATGCTATGCTGAGCTCCATACGTGTCCCCAACTCACTCTAAACAGCTCTCCAAAAATACGAAGTGAACTGAGGGCCCCTATCTGATATGATGGAAACAGGCACACCGTGCAACCAGACTTTCTCCGAATATAAATCTGGGCCAACCTCTCTGAAGTATAGGTAGTCATAACTGGAATGAAGTGTGCTGACTTGGTCAACCTGTCGACGGTGACCCAAACTGCATCAAACTTTCTTAAAGTCCGCGGCAACCCATCTACGAAGTCCATGGTGATGCGCTCCCATTTCCACTCAGGTTGAAGTAGACCACCTGGCCTCTGGTGCTCAAACTTGACCTGCTGGCAATTTAGGCATCTAGCTACATACTCCACTTTGTCTTTCTTCATTCGCCGCCACCAATAATGCTGCCTCAGGTCGCGATACATCTTCGTAGCACCTGGATGAATAGAATACCGTGAACTATGTGCCTCCTCAAGAATCCTCTCCCTCAAACCATCGACGTTAGGAACGCACAAATGACCATGGAGTCAAAGAACACCATCCTCGCCAATAGAAACCTCCTTGGCACGACCCTGTAGTACCGTCTCTCTGAGAATTATGCGGATCGTCAAACTGCCGAGCCTTGATCTGCCCCAATAGTGAAGACTGGGCAACAACACATGCAAGAACTCGGCTGGGCTCAGAAATATCCAACCTCACAAGTCTGTTAGCCAAGCACTGAATGTCCAAAGCTAGTGGCCTCTCCTCTGCTGATATGAATGTCAAGCTACCCATACTCTCTGCCTTCCTGCTTAAGGCATCCGTGACCACATTTGCCTTGCCTGGATGATAAAGAATGGCGATGTCATAATCCTTCAGTAACTGAAGCCATCTACGCTGCCTCAAATTGAGATCCCTCTGCTTGAACATATCACATGACACCCCATACAGATAATGCCTCCATATCTTAAGAGCGTGACAATCGCGGCTAACTCTAGATCGTGCACAGGGTAATTCTTCTCATGAATCCTCAACTGAAATGAAGCATATGCAATAACTCGCCCCTCCTACATCAACGCACAACCCAAAACAACGCGTGAAGCATCACAATACACAGTATACATCCCCGATCCGGAAGGCAACACTAGAACCGGTGCTGTAGTCAAAGCTGTCTTGAGCTTCTGAAAGCTCGCCTCACAATCATTGGACCAACGGAAAGTGCACCGTTCTGGGTCAATCTAGTCAAAGGTGCTGCAATGGAGGAAAAGCCCTGCACAAATCGGTGATAATAACCTGCTAGCCCTAGGAAACTCCTTATCTCAGTCACCAAAGTGGGACGTGGCCAACTCTGAGCTGCCTCAATCTTCTTGGGATCCACCTTAATACCCTCTCCTGATACAACATACCCCAAGAATGCCACAGACTCTAGCCAAAACTCACACTTGGAGAACTTAGCATAGAGCTTCTGCTCTCTCAATGTCTGAAGCACCACTCTCAAATGTTGCTCATGCTCCCCCTAGCTACGTGAGTAAATCAAGGTGTCATCAATGAAGAAGATAACAAAAGAATCAATATAAGGCCTGAACACCCGGTTCATCATATCCATAAACGCCGCTGGGGCATTAGTTAAGCCGAAAGACATCACCAGGAACTCATAGTGGCCATATCTAGTACGGAAGGCAATCTTCAGAACATCTGAGTCCCGAATCTTCAACTGATGGTACCCCGAGCTCAAATCGATCTTAGAAAACACCCTAGCACCCTGCAACTGGTCAAACAAATCATTTATGCGTGGCAACAGGTACTTGTTGTTGATGGTAACCTTATTCAACTGACGGTAATCAATGCACATCCGCATAGTCCCATCCTTCTTCTTCACAAATAACACTGGTGTACCCCAAGGTGACACACTTGGTCTCATAAACCCCTTTGCTAACAACTCCTCAAGCTTCTCCTTCAACTCTTTCGGAGCCATACGGTACGGTAAGATAGATATAGGCTGGGTACCTGGAGCCAAATCAATACAGAATTCAATATCACGATCTGGCGGGATGCTTGGGAGGTCAGAAGGAAACACATCGGCGAACTTCTGGACTACTGGCACCGAATAAATCATCGGAGACTCTCCAGTGGTGTCCCGAACATATGCTAGATACGCCAAACAACCCTTCTCGACCAGATGTCAAGCCTTCTGAAAAGAGATAGCCCGACTAAAAGTACTAAAGGAGGAACCCTTCCACTCCAATCTCGGCAACTCAGGCATCGCTAAAGTAACCATATTGGCATTGCAATCAAGGATGACGTGATATGGAGATAACCAATCCATGCCAGGATGACCTCAAAGTCGATAATATCAAGTAACAGAAGGTCCGCTCTAGTCTCACGATCACATAATGTAACCACACATGACCGGTAGATCCAATCCACAACCAGAGAACCGCCTACAAGAGTGGACACATAAATAGGAATACCCAAAGACTCACGAGGGATATCCAGGAAATGAGCAAACAAAGATGACACATATGAATATGTAGACCCTGGATCAAATAATACCGAAGCATCCCTACCGCATACAGAAATAATACCTACGATCACGGCATCTGAGGCCACTGCATCTGGTCTGGCCGAAAAAGCATAGAATCTAGTTGGAGCGCCGGCTGGCTGGCCTCGGCCTGGCTGAATAGTAGCTGGCTGAACTCCCCTTGCCTGGCCTCCACCTCTACGGACGACCCCTACCAACCCGTGTCCCCCCACCTCTCGGGCGACCGGACGGCTGGTGCTGTAACTCATGGCTGATGACCNTCCACCTCTAGGACGACCCCTACCAACCTGTCCCCCACCTCTGGGCGACCGGACGGCTGGTGCTGTAATCATAGGCTGATGACCCTGCAGTACTGCCTTGCCCTGAAGTCTGGGGCAAAATCTCTTTATGTGACCCGGATCCCCACACTCGTAACAACCCCGCAGTGCCATAGACTGCTGTCTTGAAGCCTGACCCTGATGGCCCGAATATCCACTAGAAGAACTCTGAATGGCTGGGGGCGGTATGAACTCTCTAGCATAGCACTGAAGTAGTCACTCGAAGAACCCTGATGACCAGAATACCCGCTGGAGGAACCCTGAATAGCTAGTGGGCGGTAAGAATTCTCCGGCATCCCACTGAAATAAGGCCTCACTGGAGCACCTCGGGGAGGTGGTGGTGGTGCTGAATATGGGGGCCTGCTGGGCTGACCCCTCCAAAATTGACCTCTTCCCCTCGCTGGGGCACCTCTAAACTCTCTAGAAAATCGGGTCCTCTTGTCCTGCTGCAACTGCTCTCTACCCCTCTGGCGGTAACCCTCAATCCTCCGAGCAATCTCCACCACTAGCTGATACTCAGTCCCCATCTCAACCTCTCAGGCCATGCTAGCTCGAATTCCAGGGTGCAACCCCGCAACAAATCTCTGCACTCTGTCTGCGTCCGTAGGAAGTATCATGAGGGCATGGTGAGACAACTCAGAGAATCTCGCCTCATAGTCGGTCACAAACAGTGCTTAATTATCTCTTCTCTGAGCTGAGGTTCCAAATGGACACTTATTTTCGTTTCCCGCACATTCTCCTGATCCCCTAAATTGATTGCCTCTGTGTCATTCAGATTAGGTTTGGGTTTTTCTTCAAAATGGCTTAATTCTTTACTGATTTCCTCAAAAGCTTCCTCATCATCATATTCTATTTCGTCATCACACTCAATTTCTTGTATTATTATGTCTGAGTTAGATTGGCATTTAAGACTGGGCTGAAGACTCCTCATGCATGACACATCACTAAAACCAGCGTAAAAGGGACTGTACAAGAAAGAAAAGAAAGGCAAAATAAAAACTATCAGGATTGAAAAGGAGGGAAATTGCATTTCATTAATATTTAAGATAACAAGGTTTAACTCATCCAAACGGACGGAACATAGCATCCGAATTACAACCTTGGAAATAATCCAGATTAAACTGAAAGGAAATCAAAACTAACTACCAAGACTCCCTCCGGGTAGGAGTTGTTTCCCAATTGTTAAGCTTTGCCTGGGGCCCCACGAACTGAACATCTGCCTTGCTTGGACCTTCTCCAGCCTCCAACACATTCACCTCATCAAACAGCTTTTCAAACCTTTCAATCAGCTCCTTGTCGGGATCAACCACACCACTGGGCATTGCTGTTGCTAGGCGCTTCTTAGTACCAGGCCTGACAAAGGAGCGGGAAAGGCGGGGAATAGGTTTTGGAAGGGTCCATGCTTTCTTTTTCATTTTTCTAGCTCGCCTTATGTCTGCAGCAGTGGGCCTGAAGCCTAAACCAAAAGTATCCAGGTTTGCAGGAAGAGATACTGGCTGTACGATGCCTTGTAAAGAAGCACCCAAGCCCTTTCCAGGTACAAATCCGTTCTTCAGCATTTCCGATGCAACCATGACGGGTGCAGCAGCTACCTTTGGCACAGGAATACACTTCCCTTCCAGGATCTTTTCAACCGATACCGTATCAAAGACTTGATAAACCCATGGACCTTTGTCATCCTCAGCTTCTATGAAAGGCACAATGGCACCACCCGGAGTACACGAACTATCTTCCCCATGCACCACAATCTCTTGCCTGTCCCACTCGAATTTAACCATCTGGTGCAAGGTAGATGGCACTGCCTTTGCTGCATGGATCCAGGGTCGGCCTAACAAGAGATTGTAAGAGACGGCCACGTCGAGCACCTGGAACTCCATAGTGAATTCAACCAGACCTATTGTCAGTTCCAACACTATATCCCCAACTGTGTCCTTGCCTCCTCCATCAAATCCTCGCACGCAAATACTATTCTTGTGGATTCTCTCACTGTCTACCTTTAACTTTTCCAGGGTGGAGAGAGGGCAGATGTTTGCACTGGACCCGTTATCAACCAGCACTCGGGTGACCACAGAGTCTTCACATTTCACCGTGAGGTAGAGTGCTCTATTATGCTCAGTGCCTTCCAAAGGCAGCTCATCATTAGAAAACGTAACCCTATTGACCTCGAAAATCTTGTTTGCTATTTTCTCTAGATGGTTCAAAGAAATCTTATCAGGAACATGGGCCTCATTCAAAATTTTCATCAATGTCTGGCGGTGCTCATCTGAGTGGATCAGTAATGATAGTAAAGTGATTTGTGCTGGGATCATTCTCAACTGTTCTACAATGGAATAATCTTGCGCCTTCATCTTCTTCAAGACTTCTTCTGCCTCTTCTTCAGTTATAGCTTTCTTTACTGGTACTGGATTATCTTTGGTGATTTTAGCCTTTCTCAGCTCGTCAGGAGCAAAGCATCTTCCTGAGCGAGTCAGCCCATGGGTTTCACAAACTTCTTCCTTAACTTCCTTTCCTTGATACATCACTATCACTCGGCTGTAATTCCATGGGATGGCCTTTTCACTGGTTACTGGTAACCGAGTCACTGGCGTGATGACAACCGGCTCTGTGCGAGCCCCTTTTACCATCACAACGGGCTTGACAGCTGCCCCCGACACTACCACTTTAGCTGGTTCTTGTGTTTCTGCAACACTGCTCAAAAGCTCCTTCTTTATCACTACCACTGGTTTGCTAACTATTTCTTCTACCTTGCTCAATGCTCTCCCCTTTGTTAGTTTCTCATTTGATCTATCCTCACTAGCCCAGATCATCATTAAGGTTTGTGACGGCTTCTTATGCTCTCCCTTTTGGACTAGCTCAATCATATGGGTCTCGTGATGGGTTGGTAGTTGATTTTGGGTGATGTTAGGCGTTTCTGGAGCTTGCACTTCAATTCAGCGGGTGTCAATGAGCTCTTGGATGGCCGTTTTCAAGTGCCAGCATTTTTCTGTGTCATGTCCCGGCGCACCTGAGCAATACTCACAACTCACAGAGTGGTCTAGATTCCTTGGGGGAGGATTTGGCAACTTGGGTTCAATCGGACTCAACATGACCAACTGTCTCAATCTGTGGTACAAGCTAGTGTAAGATTCACCCAAGGGAGTGAAAGTCTTCTTCTTTTGCAGCCTATCATTCTTAAATGCAGGGTTAGGTCGAAAGCCGATTCCAGTGGGATTTCTGTTGGTTCTTGGGGGTGGGTAAGTGCTTTGAGCTGGGTAAGTATTTTGTGGGGTGGGTGCGCGCCATTGCGCATGGGTAGGAGGTTGGGGGTATGTCTGGGCATGGTGGACAGAGAAATTGGGGACAGGAGGTGGGTAATAGTGCTGCGGTGGGCCATATGGGGTGTGTGGGTAGGCTTGGGGTGAGGGCGAGGTTGGTGATAATATGGTGATGGACCTCTGGACCAAGCTCTTGATTCTACTACTGCAACCTCTTCTTTCTTCTTCTTTCCCAATACTCCTCCAGTGCCGCTCTGAATAGCCTGAGTAGTTGCTTTGATTGCTGAATAGCTCATAATCTTGTTAGACTTGAGACCCTCTTCTACCATACTTCCCATTTTCACGACCTCGTTGAAAGTTTTTCCCACTGCTGATACCAGGTGACCATAATAGGTAGGCTCCAAAGCCTGTAGGAAATAATCAACCATCTCGTTCTCTTTCATTGGAGGATCGACTCTTGCCGCCTGCTCTCTCCAACGAAAACATATTCTCGGAAGCTTTCTCCGGGCTTCTTCTCAATTTTAATTAGTGACAGACGGTCCGGGACAATTTCGAGATTGTACTGAAAATGACATGCAAATGCTTGGGCCAGGTCGTCCCAAGTGTACCATCGAGCATGATCATGTCGTGTGTACCACTCCAAAGCTGCCCCACTTAGACTTTGACTAAAGTAAGCCATCAATAACTCGTCCCTTCCTCCGGCTCCTCTCATCTTGCTGCAGAACCCCCTTAAGTGGGCCACCAGATCACCATGTCCATCATATAGGTCAAACTTGGGTAACTTGAATCCTGCTGGCAATTGGACATCATGAAACAGGCACAGGTCCTTATAGGCTACACTCACTTGTCCTCCGAGCCCCTGCATATTTCGGAATGACTGTTCTAAGCTCTTAACCTTCTGTATCATTTCCTCTTGCTCCGGGTTTTTAGGAGGCTTTTCTTCTTCTGCTAAGAGATCAAGGCGGGGAGTGTAAGGGCATGGCTCTGGTGGTTTGAAAGTGGCTTCGGGTGGGTAATACTGGTTATCATGGGTTTGGAACAAAGGTTCGCTAGAAGACTTGTGTAGTGCGACAGGTGGAGGAGCCACAAACACAGGAGTAGTTAGTGGTGGAGGGCATGGAATTTGTTTGGGTGGTGGAGGTGGTGGTGTTTGAGAGGTGGTTCCGTAGTACTGCTGGTAAGTAGGGAAAACAGGAGATGAGTTCGCTGTGGGAGGATCTTGAGGCTGAGCTAGTGGTGGGATGTAAGTGGGGTTAGCAGGATAGGCTGGTGGTGGATGTCCCTTCGACCAGGCCTGGTACATCTCGGCCATTTGTTGCTTCAGTTTATACATCTCCTCCTTTATTGCATTAACGTCCACTACTTCCTCCTCCCTAGATGGGTCGACAATGCTTGCTTCCAATTCCTGGTTGACCATGTTTGACTTATCCTTAGAGCGGGTGTTGTAGGGATGGGTTGCCAGAATGCCAGTCAACTTAACCACTTGCCTGAACTCATCAACAACAACTTTGTTAGCGGTTAGGGCATTAACAGATAGATGACCGCACATTGGGGAGTGAATGCACCTAAGCAGTTAACCATTTCTATTATGCCTTTGCTTGGTTGCATGCGTCATCCCGGCTTTTCCTTATTTCTATGTGCCACTTCCTTTTTATTTTTCATTGTTTCTTGCCACTCTCTCTTTTTGCATTTTTCGCCCCTATTTTTACTATTTGGTTANCAAAGATTTTTCATATTTTTAGCACGTAAATATTTAATTTAGGCCTAATATAGCTATTTCAATTAATTTTGGATCTTTTACTTTATTTTATTACAAGAAAATAAAAATTACAAAAAAAATTTAGTTTATGTATTTTTCATAAATTCAAAAAGCACAAAAATAGTACCTTATATAATTTCGAAAATACAAAAATAGTTTCATGTCTAGTTTAATTAGTTAATATTAGCTTTGGC